TGGTTGGGTCCACTATTTGGGAAGCCTGAGGGGAAGAGACCGCTGGGGAGACCTAGACGTAGATGGGAGGATAATATCAGGCGGGATCTATGGGAGATAAGAGTTGAAGGAGACTGGATTTTGTTGGCCCAGGACAGGGTCCAGTGGAGGGCTTTGGTTAATTCGGTGATGAACTTTTGGGCTCCCTAAGTCAGCTAGTTTGTTAGTTAGTGGGAAAGTGCGGATTGGATTAATTTGGCTTTTGCAGAGACTAAATGACAAGTAACAAGTCATGATTTTGGGCATGTGGATGGAAGCAGATTCTGTCCCACTGTCTTGCTGTAAATTGTAGCACAGTTGTCATGAGAGCTGTAGTCTATTCTAAATGCTGATAACACTTCTCAAAAATGTCATACATGTGTGTATATTAATAACTCCAGAAGTACCTCTCATTATGTGAAAAGTTTATGTTTTAGAACCATGTTTACTTCTTACATAATAAATTGATATTTCTTGCATTATCTACTGTCTAGACAATAATATACATAAAACTAAATATACAAACGTAACTTCAAATCAAAATCTTAAACAGAGCCATAATGTAATATGTAATAAATCATTTGAGAGTGTTTACAAATTTTAAGCTTCTGGGAACAAGGATAACAAATAGAAATGAGTTTTGATGATGAAGTTAGTAGAATAATTAATTCTGGAATAATTTTTGCCTTTTCTCATGTTTGTTTCAATCATTATAATCCTCTCTGCTGTCTAGAATGCCAAAGGTTTGTTGTTTTGTATAGGTGTGAATTGTGGTCTCTTACTTTTAGAGACAGCACAGGCTACAGTTGTGATAATCGAAGGCATGTGTTACTCTGAAACATTAGTAACCACTACAAGACCACATGGTGTCAAAATCGAGAATGCCAGAATTAACACTTTTACCAACATAACAAAATCGGCTCCCATAAATTATGAGTGTGTGAGAAAGTGCACAGTAAAATATTTTAACCAAAGATAAATGAAGTAAATGAGCAGCGCCGGATATTACGCAGTGGACGTTTCAGGCTGTGATGGTAGAATGTAACTAGGATGGGGTGAAAGGAGGAGTATAAATTTTATTTTGTGGGTTGACCTTTTAGAGAACACACACAGGGGAGATCAAGAAAGAGGTGGGAGGTTAATATTAAAATTGATTTTAGGGATATTCATTGTGATGATTGGAGGAAAATGGAATTGGGTCAGGAATGTGTCCAATGGCAGGCTTTGATTTTGATAAGATAGTGTAGTTGCGTCATATTGTGACTTATTAAATTAAAATTAATTATTTGGTTTTTCCGTCAAATCACAATGTATTTAAAATAAGATAATTAAAATAATTAAAATATCATTCTGTGTTCCATATCGAATAATCGATTTACAATTGGAACATTTACA